AGCATTGTTTTCAATAAATAGTCAAGACCTATGGAAACAACCTAAGCGTCTACTGAAAGATGAAGGGCTAAAGAAATTGTGGTATATCTCTATCTTCATATAGGTATATATCTCTATCTACATATCCACACATACACAATGGAATACTACTCAGCGATAAACAGAATGAAATCTTGCCGTTTACGAAAATATGGATGGACCTTAGGTAATTATGCTACAGAAATTATTCAGACAGAGAAAGATAACTACTGAATGATTTCCTTTATATGTGGAATCTAAAAAACAAATCACATTGCTGACAAAAGTCTGTCTAGTCAAAGCTATGGTTTTTCCAGTAGTCATGTATGGATGTGAGAGTTGGACCATAAAGAAGGCTGAGCACTGAAGAACTGATGTTTTTTAATTGTGGTACTGGAGAAAACTTGAGAGTCCCTTGGAATGCAAGGAGGTCAAACGAGTCAATCCTAAAGGAAATCAATCCTGAATATTCATTGGAAGGACTGATGCTGAAGCTGAAGCTCCAGTACTTCAGCCACCTGATGCAAAGAACTGACTAACTGGAAAAGACCCTGATTCTGGCAAATATTGAAGGCAAAAGGAGATGGGAGTGGCATAGGATGTGCTGGTTAGATAGCATCACCAACTCAATGGACATGAATTTGAGCGAACTCTGGGAGATAGTGAAGGACAGGGGAGACTGGTTTGCTGCAGTCCATGGGCTTGCAAAGAGTCGGACACAACTTACGACTGAAAAACAAAAAACAAAACAAAAATCATAGGTACAGAGAACAGAATTGTGGTTTCCAGAGGGGAGAGGAAAGTAGTGGGCAAAATAGGTGAGGGGTGTCAAGATGCACAAACTTCCACTTATGAAATAAATAAGTAATGGGCATATAATGTGCAGCATGGTAACTACAGTCTGTAACACTGTACTGCAGGGCATACCTGAAAGTTGCCGAGGGAATAAATCTTAAAAGTTAATTTTATATGATGACAGATAGAAACTACAAGCATACCTCATTTTACTTCATTATGCTTTGCAGATACTACTTTTTTTTTTAATTGCAGGTTTATGGCAACCTTGTATAGATGGGGAAACAGTGGCAGACTTTAGTTTTTGAGGCTCCAAAATCACTGCAGATGGTGATTGCCACCATAAAATTAAAAGATGCTTACTCCTTGGAGGGAAAGTTATGACCAACCTAGACAGCATATTAAAAAGCAGAGGCATTACTTTGCCAACAAAATTCCATCTAGTCAAGGCTATGGTTTTTTCAGTAGTCATGTATGGATGTGAGAGTTGGACTATAAAGAAAGCTGATCATTGAAGAGTTGATGCTTTTCAAATGTGGTGTTGGAGAAGACTCTTAAGAGTCCCTTGGACTGCAAGGAGATCCAGCCAGTCCATCTTAAAGGAGATCAGTCCTGAGTGTACATTGGAAGGACTGATGTTGAAGCTGAAGCTCCAATATTTTGGCCACCTGATGCGAAGAGCTGACTCATTGGAAAAGACCCTGATGCTGGGAAAGATTGAACGCAGGAGGAGAAGGGGACAACAGAAGATGAGATGGTTGGATGGCATTGCCGATTCAATGGACATGAGTTTGGGTAAAATCTGGGAGCTGGTGATGGACAGGGAGGCCTGGTGTGCTACGGTCCATGGGGTCCCAAAGAGTCGGACACGACTGAGCAACTGAACTGAACTGAACTGTGTAGAGCAAGTCTATCGGTGCCATTTTTCCAATAGTATTTGCTCACTTCATGTCTCTGTGTCATATTTTAGGGTGACTTTTCAATACATCAAACTTTTTCATCACTGTTATATTTTGTACAGTAATCTGTGATCAGTGATGTCTAATGTTACTACAACTTGCTAAAGACTAAATGACAGCATTTTTTAGCAGTAAACTATTTTAAAATTATTTATTTTTTAGACATAAATGTTATTTCACTCTTAACAGACTACAGTATAGTATTCACATAACTTTTATGTGTACTGAGAAACAAACAAAAAAATTGTGTGAATCACTTAATTGCAATATTTGCTTTATTGTGTTGGTTTGGAACTGAACCTGCAGTATCTGCCAGGTATGCCTGTAGACTTAGTGTGGTGATCATATTGTAGTATTTACAATTAATGAACAATTACGCTACATATCTGACACCAGTATAACATTACGTGTCAATTATACATAAATAAATGCTTTTAAGATAACAAAATGTTTGTTGAGCATCTTAAATGCATCACTATCCTAGGCTCTATATTTACTGTAATAAACCATTAATTCCTACTTTGTTTGATAAAAATTTGTCAAATTGATCATTTCAGTTATATTTACCATGTATTCAGTTTGCCAACACACTGTAAAACTCATCTTATTCATCTCCAGCAGTGACAAGAAGTTTACCTGAGCATATGATACAACCAGCCAGCCTGAACTATCTGAGGAAACGGAACAGAAATATATCACCCAACACTTGAGATCAGGCTAGTGACATGGTCTCTATTGAATGTTCCAACATCCCATTGAACACATGTCCACACTGGTCCTGCTTAAAAATCTGTCTCACACACTAGCTTGTGAGCTAATAATTGTGTCCTTTTCACATTTGTGCTTCCTTCTGACTCACAAGTATCCCAGTGTCTGAATGGAGTAGATGTTTAATAAAGTAATGATTGATAGAGTGAAATAGTAGAGAGCATGTTAAAACTTTTTACTGGCTACTCTTTATGAAGGTGAAAGAGGAGAGTGAAAAAGTTGGCTTAAAGCTCAACATTCAGAAAACTAAGATCATGGCATCCGGTCCCATCACTTCATGGCAGATAGATGGGGAAACAGTGGAAACAGTGGCTGACTTTATTTTTCTGGGCTTCAAAATCACTGCAGATGGTGATTGCAGCCATGAAATTAAAAGACACATACTCCTTGGAAGGAAACTTATGACCAACCTAGATAGCATATTAAAAAGCAAAGACATTACTTTGTCAACAAAGGTCCATCTAGTCAAGGCTATAGTTTTTCCAGTAGTCATGTATGGATGTGAGAGTTGGACTATAAAGAAAGCTGATCACTGAAGAGTTGATGCTTTTGAACTGTAGTGTTGGAGAAGACTCTTGAGAGTCCCTTGGACTGCAAGGAGATCCAACCAGTCCATCCTAAAGGAAATCAGTCCTGGGTGTTCATTGGTAGGACTGATTTTGAAGCTGAAACTCCAATACTTTGACCACCTGATGCGATTAGCTGACTCATTGGAAAAGACCCTGATGCTGGGGAAGATTGAGGGCAGTAGGAGAAGCGGGGGATGGAGGATGAGATGGCTGGATGGCATCACCGACTCAATGGACATGGGTTTGGGTGGACTGCGGGAGTTGGTGATGTACAGGGAGGCCTGGCATGCTGCGGTTCATGGGGTCCCAAAGAGTCAGACACGACAGTGACTGAACTGAACAGAAAACAAATACTGAACTTGCCTGGTGGTTCAGTGGTAAAGAATCTCACTGCCAACACAGAAGATGTTGGTTCAATCCCTGGGTCAGAAAGATCCCCTAGAGAAGGAAATGGCAACCCTCTCTAGTATTCTTGCTTGGGAAATCCCATGCACAGAGGGGTCTGGCAGGCCTCATGGAGAAAAGAGTTGGACACAACTTAGTGACTAAAGAACAACACCATAACAAATATTGTAAAAATATATCCACTGACTTTATTGTCATTCAATAGGCAGAGGTGAACGTCTACTGAATGGATTCCTACCAGGTGTTATTACGTGTAATAATGTAGCACACTATGTTGCCTCACTCTGACTACATTTGGAATGTGTTATTTTGTTTTTCTGTCTTCTGGGTTTGTTTTACAATTTAGGAGACCTAGAGGCTTATGAGAAATGCACTGTGATGGTCAACCAACTTAAGGTAATAGATCCATTTTAAATATTAGATATTTCTAGCCAAAAATCTGAACTTGGTGTTCGTTTATTAAATCCAGGCCTATATAGCTTTCCCAAACTTTCATCTTTCAATATAAATTACATTAAACCTTGAATACTGAGAGGAGAAAGGACTGAAAAGTAGCCAGCAGTCCCATCAGAGGCAGGATGCCATTCCCTGGAATCACTGCTTACTCTATACTTGAGCTTAATTTAGCATCTAGTTGGTTGGAAAATTCAACTAGTAAATTAGTCCAGTAGCCATATTTTTGGTAACATTTCTAGGAAATCTGTCATTAAGGAAAAAATGTCTTAAATGACAGTTACAATTTCTAGCAGATTTTCTACATGATATACTGGCATTGAAAGCATACTTAAAATTTAAATGTGTCTTGAATAAGCGGATTTGAAATAAGTACTCATAAATAGCTTGGTTATATCTAAAAAGCTAATTACTCCTATGAAGTCTAAAGTCTTATCTGAGTATTATTCAACTCAAATATGGATGAGATGCAAGGTAGGATCCAACCTGAGGCAAATTGCTCTCCAGTTGTTAACCTGTGAAATCAAACAACGTATGCTTCCAAAATACAATGGTAGGGCAGGCATAGGATAGACATTTCCAATCCCAAAAGGTAGAACAGAGAATAATAAAGGAGGACAGGTCCCAAGTACATCCAAGATAGAAGAGCACAAACAACATTAAACGTTAAGGCTCAAGAATAATCTCCTTTGACTCAATGCTCTGTCTTCTAGACCCATTGGGATGGCAGTATCACCCCTGTGCTCCACAGGAAGGCCTGTAGCCACTCCCTGCCTGGGCTCCATGGTTCTCTGGGTCTGGGGTCTTTGGCCCATGACTCTTCCAGATGGCCCCATCCTCTGAAATCTAGGTGGAGGCAGCCATGCCTCTCCCTCCCCCTCTGCCAGGCTTGTGCCAGTGGAGACAGGTCAAATGGTCATTACCAAAGTTTGCTGTCTGTGCTCTCTGGAAGGGCAACCCCTGAGACTTGTGCTGCACTGTGAGCTAGTGAGCTGGCCAAAAAGTTCATTGATTTTCCATGGTATAAGAAAACTCAAATGAACTTTTTGGCCAACCCAACACCAGAGCATGTCTGCGGTGTCGGGGTGTGGCACCAGACTACAGAGACCAGAGCCCTACCTGTGAGGTGGCACCCAACAGCTGGCATCAAGGTCCCAAAGGTGCTGGTGGGCCCTTCTTTGAACCACTCTGCTCCCCAGGCCCTTGCACTCAGGGACTGTGATGGGAGTGGCAGCTCAGTTCTGGGAGTGGCAGCTTGGTTCTCTCTGAATTCTTTTTGGGGATCATTCTTCATTGTCTTGGAGAGTAGTACCTGGCTTCCAATCAGATCCATACTAACCTCCTTCTCAGTCATTTGGCCACACCCTCAGTGGTCTCATTTTTTGCAAGATGGATAGGCTGAGGATTTTCCTAATCTTAAATTCTGCTTCCTTGTGGCTTAACAATCTCATCTTTAAGTCCAGTCTCTTAGTTTGAATTTTACTGTCAGCAGTCAGGAAGAGCCAAGTTGCAGTTCAACATTTTGCTTAGAAATTGTTTCAGCTTGGTATTCTGTTCTACCTTTCACCAAAGACTAAACAGAAACACAATTCACCAAAGTTTTGTTTGTTTGTTTTTTTGCTACTTTACAATAAGGATTGAATCTCTTACAGTTTTCAATAATCAGTTCCTCATTTCCACCTTGGTCTTTATTGTCCATATTTCTACCAACATACTATTCATGGGTAGATAGGTATTCTCTAAGAAGATTAAGGTGTTTTCTACAGTGTTCCTCTTTCTGAGCTCTCATCGGAATCATCTTTAAAATTCTGTTCATGGCAACCTATGTTTTTTTCAGTATGCACTTCAAAATTTTAGCCTCTATTCCTCACCCAGTACCACATTTTTACATATTTGTTATGCACCATTGTCACTTCTCAGTACCAATTTGTTTCTTAGTCTGTTTGGGCTGCTATTACATAAATACTGTAGACTGAGTGGCTTAAACAATGCATTGATTTCTGATGGCTCTTAAGGGTGGGATGTTCAAGATCAAGGTTGGCAGATTATAAGGGCACTAATCCCATTCATGAGGGCTTCACCTGCATGACCTTTCACCTCCTGAAGCCTCCACTCCAAACACCATCGCACTTGGGTAACCCATAAATTTTTTTGAGGGAGGATACAAACAGTCTATTGCAAAGACTCAATCACAAGTCAAAAATAAAGCAGTATTTCACTATAAACCATATTATATTTGTTTAGAAGCTAAAAACAATATGATGAAACATGAAAACACACACATTTCAGAAAACAGCTTGTTGTGTTCATCAGTCTGATCAGTTTTGCACAATGAAATATTGTGTATTTTTATATATTTCTTATTTTATATAAGAAATATAAAAGTTATAATATAAACTGTAGTATAAAAACATAAGAAACAATATTATTTTAAAGAAGGAAATTGTAAGAGACATGTTACTACTGCAAAAACTTTAAATAGAAATTTTAAATGCCATGCTAAAACTAATTTTTTCCTAGTATTATGCATTAGGCCTTAGAATGTAGGGATGTAGCAAATAAAAATGAAAAGTTTATATAGTAAACTTTCTGAATACTATTGTCTCACTTGTTATATCAAATTTTTTTAGAAAGCTAACAGTAGCATATAAAAATGAACATTGCAAGAAACTGGGTAAAACAACATTTATCATGAAAACATGAATATAATTTAAAAATGAGGCATCTTTCTTTCACTTCAATACAAACTTCAATAGGAAATTCAATGGGCAAAGGCTTTCATCTCATACTTAAGCACATTAAGTCTTGCTTCTTTTAATAAGCAGCAGCAGAACACATTCTATTCTATATACTTGTTGTGTTGAAAGAACACAGTTCATGTCCAAATAGGAAACTAAAGTGCAGTAGAGGCAAGCTGATTTATCAGAGTGTGTTCACTAAGTGTGCTTTTAGCTAATACAAATAAGTACAATTTTTACATTTACTATGTTAGTCTAAATAACCTTTACTGATAAGCTATAGATTCCAGAGAAGTAGCATGTTTGCTCTTTTATCATTTTCTTTTCCTAGATACAGATTTATCTACCATTTAAACAAAAAACAGCAAAGTAATATTACACAGTATCTGCTTTTTCAGTTTTTGCATTTACAAAATGCTACACAGAATGTCACATTTCAAAATTTAAAAGTGAAACTCCAACTCTTGCAATGTGAACAGCCTGGTTTGATTCAGGGATCTTCTTTTAAGAGAAAAAAAACCATCTCTTCTGTGTCATATCAAATAAGATACAAAGGTTTAACAGGCAGTCCTAGAGATTTGACCAAACCTATTTTATATGTAAGTCATCTATAGCCAAGAGAGGTTAAATGTATAAAAGGAAAGCTTCTCATAAGGGCACTGATGTCTTTAAATTGCTCAGAGATCCAGATTGGTCATGGCCCTGGTCACCTCTTTTCCTGATTGTCTGACCCTATCTTCATAGGGAGACAGCTCCTGATTGTGTATGCTAGTAAATGAAGCATGGGAAATATAACCTTATGATATAAAAAACATGTTTTATTTTGTAATAAAATAGAAACTTCCATGGAAATTTTCATAAGTTTTCAAAACAAATTTCTGATACATTTGCACAAGTAAAATTTTTCTTGTGCAATAAAACATAATATTTCTATCTGCCTTCCTTTTTGTTTTTAATAATGAAGTGTATCATTCTTTTCACCTGGAATCAAACTTGTCTTCAGCAACTGGATGGAGATGAAAGGGTTAGAGATACAGCCTATATGACTCTATCTCAACAAAGATTGCTCTTAAAAGACTATCATTTTACTATCAATTAGTGTAAGAGCTTTGGGATTCATTTTCTCTTATCTCATGTTTAAAGTGTTTGAAAGTTCACCATATATATATATATTCACTTGGTTAATGAGTCATAGTTTTTTCATGGCAAACTCCATGTCTACCAAGTAGACAGATACGCAACTGAAACACGTTTAGATGTGTTCTTCCACTTACACTCTCAGTCTACCTGTCAATGCTAACATCCAACAACATTAATCTTCAAGAGCAGATAAATATATTTGTGAATACTTGAGGGCTGACTATGAGCCCAGGCAACTTTTCTAAATTTTTCTTTAATTAATCACCATTGCTGATGTGTGGTTCCATCAATCATGATGAATGTTTGAACGTTGTGGTGGAGAGCTTTCAAAATACATGAAGTCCTGAAATTAGAAAAATAATTATATGTGTAATAAATATCAAATTAGATAGATAAATAATTATATAAATAAAACAGTGCATAAGTAATTAAGTGCAATGCATAAAATGTTACTCTTTATAACTTAACAGGTAATCTTCTCATTCCAGGTAAGAATAAATCATGAAATTTTTAGTGAAATCTTCATGAAGAGAACCTAATAAGAAGAACAGCAATTGCAAATTTGAAACTGTGGAAAGTAAATAAACTTTCCACTTGGGGTACCAATTAACTAAATTTTCATTGTTGAAATGAGGAAAAACTTGATAATCTATATTAAACATGTTTTTTTTTCCATTTATTTTAATAGTTGGAGGCTAATTACTTTACAATATTGTAGTGGTTTTTGCCATACATTGACATGACTCAGCCATGGATTACATGTATTCCCCATCCTGATCCCCCTCCCCCAACTCCCTCTCCACCCAATTCCTCTGGGTCTTCCCAGTGCACCAGCCCCGAGCACTTGTCTCATGCATCCAACCTGGGCTGGTGATCTGTTTCACCCTAGATAATACACATGTTTCGATGCTGTTCTCTAGAAACATCCCACCCTTGCCTTCTCCCACAGAGTCCAAAAGTCTGTTCTGTACATATGTGTCTCTTTTTCTGTTTTGCATACAGGGTTATCGTTACCATCTTTCTAAATTCCATATATATGCATTAGTGTACTGTAATGGTCTTTATCTTTCTGGCTTACTTCACTCTGTATAATGGGCTCCAGTTTTATCCATCTCATTAGAACTGATTCAAATGAATTCTTTTTAATGGCTGAGTAATATTCCATGGTGTATATGCACCACAGCTTCCTTATCCATTCATCTGCTGATGGGCATCTAGGTTGCTTCCATGTCCTGGCTATTATAAACAGTGCTGCGATGAACATTGGGGTGCACGTGTCTCTTTCAGATCTGGTTTCCTTGGTGTGCATGCCCAGAAGTGGGATTGCTGGGTCATAGCGCAGTTCTATTTCAAGTTTTTTAAGAAATCTCCACACTGTTCTCCATAGTGGCTGTACTAGTTTGCATTCCCACCGACAGTGTAAGAGGGTTCCCTTTTCTCCACACCCTCTCCAGCATTTATTGCTTGTAGACTTTTGAATAGCAGCCATCCTGACTGGAGTGTAATGGTACCTCATTGTGGTTTTGATTTGCATTTCTCTGATAATGAGTGATGTATAGATCAATGGAACAGAATAGAAACCCCAGAGATAAATCCACGCACCTATGGACAACTTATCTTTGACAAAGGAGGCAAGAATATACAATGGAAAAAAGGCAACTTCTTTAACAAGTGGTGCTGGGAAAACTGGTCAACCACTTGTAAAAGAATGAAACTAGAACACTTTCTAACACCATACACAAAAATAAACTCAAAATGGATTAAAGATCTAAATGTGAGACCAGAAACTATTAAACTCCTAGAGGAGAATATAGGCAAAACACTCTCTGACATAAATCACAGCAGGATCCTCTATGACCCACCTCCCAGAATATTGGAAATAAAAGCAAAAATAAACAAATGGGACCTAATGAAACTTAAAAGCTTTAGCACAACAAAGGAAACTATAAGCAAGGTGAAAAGACAGCCCTCAGATTGGGAGAAAATAATAGCAAACAAAGCAACAGACAAAGGATTAATCTCAAAAATATACAAGCAACTCCTCAGCTCAATTTCAGAAAAAATAAATGATCCAATCAAAAAATGGGCCAAAGAACTAAACAGCCATTTCTCCAAAGAAGACATACAGATGGCTAACAAACACATGAAAAGATGCTCAACATCACTCATTATCAGAGAAATGCAAATTAAACATGTTTTAAAAAGGATTAAACAAGTTAAATATATCAATTGCAATATGTTAAACAGATATTTTAAGGTAAATGCTACCAGTTTTATTTCTATGCTTTACTTAATAATATTAGCCATTAATCAGATAGAAATATAGCAAAGGAATTGTACCTAATAAATATAGGATGGTACAACACCAAGGAGTATATTGACAAAGAGGTAATAGGTGAAGAGAAAGAACATAAGCTTTAGACTTATTTTATTTCAGCTAGAAATCAAAGGGCAGGCATCTTTAAGTAGTGAGAATAATAAGTAACATGCAGTGATGACAATCACATTGAGTGGATGCTTAGTATCTTTCAAGCATGGTCCTGGCCATATTTATAACCCTGCAATATATATATATATATATATATATATACACACACACACACACACACACACATACATATTCCATTTCCATTTTACAAATGAGGAAACTGAGGCTTGCAAGTGTTAAACACTTTGCAAGACATATAACTCACAAAGAGTCGGACATGACTTAGTGACTGAACAAGACATAATCAGTAAGTGGCAGAGTCAGTTTCAAACCTTATTGCCTTTCGTCATAAAGAATAATTCTCTCAGAACAGCTCAACAGCAAAAGGCTTACAATGAGGAAGCAAGCTCCAAAAATCATGGCTTTCATGTTCACATCCAGGTCTAATGGGAAGTGAATTTCAAAGTGGTCAGCATCGCTCATTGCTGATAACACACCATTCCACTTCCGAGTGATACTGCCAATAATGGAAACACCATCCAGGGACAGGATCTAGAAAGACAAGAATATGACTTCAGGATGATTAAAAGGTGTTAAAACATATGCTTTATTCTCCTGTTTATAAGCAGTTCACCCTGAGGTCACTTTCACTACTTTTCAGTACAAGCATAGGGCAGGAAATGAATATAGTAATAATAAAATTTCAAATAGGGAATTATGGCCAGGAAGAGTTAAGTGCCCTGCAACTGGTTAACAACTGAGCAGGGGAATATCTTACAATTCTCAGGCCTCATGTTCTTTCTTCATCCTCCACTGAGTTATTAGGAAAGCCTTTCAGTGGAGGTATGATTTAAACTGATTTTGAAATTCTTTCCCTAAAGTAAAGGGTGGGAATTACAGATTGGGAGGGAGTCTCTCCACTGGAGGGAAACAAGCTAACAAAAGTAAGATGGTCTGCTTTATTGTACTTTACAAAATCCATGTAGTCATTCAGACTTCTATGGGTCCTGGGCTCTTCTTTTTCTTTTTTCTAGTATTTATTTATTTGGGGCTTCCCTGGTGGCTCAGATGGCAAAGAATCTCCCCACCTTGCAGGAGACCCAGGTTTCGTCCCTGGGTAAGGAAGAGCCCCTGGAAGAGGGAATGGCAATTCACTCCAGCATTCTTGCTTACAGAATTCCTTGAACAGAAGAGCCTGGTGGGCTACAGTCCAAGGTGGTCTGCTTTATTGTACTTCATAGAATCCATGTAATCACTCAGGCTTCTGTGGGTGCTGTGTTCTTTAAAATATTTATTTACTTATTTAGCTGCATCGGGTCTTAGTTGTGGCACATGGGATCTTTTGTTGTGGTGCATGGACTCTAGTTGTAGCCCATGGGCTCAGCAGTTGTGGCGCAAGGGCTTAGTTGCTCTGTAGTATGTGGGATCTTAGTTCCCTGACCAGGGATCAAACTCTAATCCCCTGCATTGCAAGGCAGATTCTTAACCACTGGACCACCAGGAAAGTCCTAGTCCGGTCTTCTTAAAGAGTCTCAGAATCTCAAAGGGCTTCAGCTTCTAAAAGGGAGATTCTGGCACTTGCCACAAGGAAAACACACAAATATCACTTTTTGGTAATTCAGTTCAGTTCAGTCGCTCAGTCGTGTCTGACTCTTTGTGACCCCATGAATCACAGCACGCAAGGCCTCCTTGTCCATCACAAACTCCCGGAGTTTACTCAAACTCATGCCCATCGGTGATGCCATCCAGCCATCTCATCCTCTGTCATCCCCTTCTCCTCCTGCCCCAAGTCCCTCCCAGCATCAGGGTCTTTTCCAATGAGTCAACTCTTCACATCAGGTGGCCGAAGTACGGGAGTTTCAGCTTCAACATCAGTCTTTCCAGTGAACACCCAGGACTGATCTCCTTTAGGATGGACTGGTTGGATCTCCTTGCAGTCCAAGAGACTCTCAAGAGTCTTCTCCAACACCAGAGTTCAAAAGCATCAATTTTTCGGCACTCAGCTTTCTTCACAGTCCAACTTTCACATCCATACATGACCACTGGAAAAACCATAGCCTTGACCAGATGGACCTTTGCTGGCAAAGTAATGTCTCTGCTTTTTAATATGCTATCTAGGGTGGTCATATTTTTCCTTGCAAGGAGTAAGCATCTTTTAATTTCATGGCTGCAGTCACCATCTGCAGTGATTTTGCAGCCCCCCCCAAAATAAAGTCAGTCACTGTTTCACTGTCTCCCCATCTATTTCCCATGAGGTGATGGGACCAGATGCCAAGATCTTAGTTTTCTGAATGTTAAGCTTTAAGGCAACTTTTTCACTCTCCTCTTTCACTTTCATCAAGAGGCTTTTTAGTTCCTCTTCACTTTCTGCTAGAAGGGTGGTGTCATCTGCATATCTGAGGTTATTGATATTTCTCCCAGCAATCTTGATTCCAGCTTGTGCTTCTTCCAGCCCAGCATTTCTCATGATGTACTCTGCATATAAGTTAAATAAGCAGGGTGACAATATACAGCTTTGATGTACTCCTTTTCCTATTTGGAACCAGTCTGTTGTTCCATGTCCAGTTCTAACTGTTGCTTCCTGACCTGCATATAGGTATCTCAAGAGGCAGGCCAGATGGTCTGGTATTCCCATCTCTTTCAGAATTCTCCACAGTTTATTGTGATCCACACAGTCGAAGGCTTTGGAGTAGTCAATAAAGCAGAAATAGATGTTTTTCTGGAACTCTCTTGCTTTTTCGATGATCCAGAGGATATTGGCAATTTGATCTCTGGTTCCTCTGCTTTTTCTAAAACCAGCTTGAACATCTGAAAGTTCTCAGTTCACGTCTTGCTGAAGACTGGCTTGGAAAATTTTGAGCAATTTTGGTAATTAGAATGATCCAAACATCCTGCCCTCAAAATCTGGCTTATCTTCATTTTCTACCTATCTACAATGGTCTTTTAATAAATAAGTAATGGTTGACAATACACTTATGTAAAACAAGAACTAAGGGAAGTTTATTGGGTGTCATAGAAAATATTTGAATGAGCAATTTTAGATTATGAGTCTTGTTGAATTTTAAAGCATTAAGAAGACTGCTTTAAGGAGCCCAGGAATCTCCTTTGTCAGAACAGGAATCTCCTTTGTCAGAACTGTAGGGTACTAAGATATCATTCGACTCCCTTAGGGCTCAGCTGGTAAAGAATCTACCTGCAATGCAGGAGACTTGGGTTCAATTTCTGGCTTGGGAAGATCCCCTGGAGAAGGGAAACGCTACCCACTCCAGTATTCTGGCCTGGAGAATTCCAAGTTATGAGCACTGTATTGTGTTTTCAGGATGCAGCAGGCTTCTATCTTACACAACCTCAGGGATGCTCTATTTGTTCTGTGATATGTGGGGCCTCTTCATTACTCAGGACCTATATTCTGATTGGAAATCCTTGGTAAAATGGTTAGTGAAAAGCATCCAAGAATAAAATGAATGCATTAGGTCAGCCTATTTACTCTCAGGTTTAACATTTTAAATGGTTTCTTCTTATTTTCATCCAATATGGAAATCATAAAAAATACTTGTGGAAAGCATTAAGCAATCCCCTAAAAATAATTTGAAAACTTCTTGATGTCAACCTGTTAGTTAACTCTTTCCTCATATTATTCATTCACACACACAAAAAAAATCATCTAAAGCCAGATCATTCTGGGGCCTGTTAGTACATTGGGAAAAAAAAAATTGTAGAAACATGTTTATATTTGTTTACCTCAAAAACTGAATCTGAACCACAGCCATAGGTGGAACATGGCCCAAGTACTCCCATCATATCTTCTTTCTTCTCATTTTGGAGGCTGTACACTGCCCTGCACAGGTTCCAGTGTTCGGCTACAAAGCCAATGGTGACGCCAGGAGGACAATGAACCTCCAGCTGCCAAATGAAGCAGGGACAGAGGTGGGTGAAGATGCCATATTTATACACCCACATACACACACACACACTACATGTGTTCTTAATTTTCTCCAGTACTAGGGAAACTGTCATTGGTGTGGAGTCTTCCATTTTCCCTGGGTTATATCTTAGGGTAGTATGTCAGAGAACAGCCTTGAGAGATGAGGCCATGTTCCCTTCAGGACAAAATTACTGCTAGTTATAAAATGGTCAGTTCTCTAGGCTCTGTGTCCCTCAGCTGTATACCGAGCATCTACTTGGGATCCTTTGAGTCATCTCTGTAGAATGTGGGGAGGAGGCAACCTATGCACATGTGCTGGAGCTCATGCTGCTTGGTGACGGTGGTTTGGTTGCTAGGTCCTATCCGACTCTTTGCAACCCTATGCACAATAGCCTGCCAGACTCCTCTCTGTCTGTGGGATTTTCCAGACAAAAATACTGGATTGTGTTGCTGATCCTTCCTGGGGATCTTCCCAACCCAGGGATCAACCATGCATTTCCTGCATTGGCAGGTGGATTCTTTACCATCTGAGGCACCAGAGAAGTCCCTCATGCTGCTTACTGGGCTGTAATAAAGTTCTTTGTCCCTGACCTAGGGGTCCATGTCTTGTGGCACAATCCACAAAAAAGTAACATGCTAGCTTCTCAGATTGACAACTCAGACATGACAATTATAATAGAAAACTTAAGGGAAAGAGGCATTCTGAAAATTAAATGCTGTGACGACAATGTGCATACAACTATCGGATGAGGTGGAGATTCATCTCAAATATTACAGTTGTTACAAAGACAATAGTGACAGAGGAGTAAGCTATCTGACAATTGCTAATATTCACTGAGCACTATTTGCCAGGTACTGTGCTAACATAGGACTTCCCCGTGGCTCAGTGGTAAAGACTCCGCCTGCAATGCATAAGCTGCAGAAGACACAGGTTCAATCCCTGGGTCAAGAATATCCCCTTGAGGAGAGCATGGTAACCCACTCCAGTATTCTTGCCTGGAGAATCCCATAGACAGAGGAGCCTAGCAGGCTACAGCCCAGGGGGTTGCAAAGAGTTGGACACAACTGAAGTGACTAAGCCCACACATACATGGTAACACAGCTGACATTTATTTACTACATGATACTCAAAATAATCATCCTATGAGATAGTACTATTAATATATCCATTTTATAGGTGAATAAATCAAGACACAGAAAGGGCTATAAGTTAATTCTATTGCAAAGGCTGGTACTTAACATATAATTAAAATCTCAATAAATCTAAGGGATATTGTTTTGCCCAGGTCATGAATTAAGAACACTGAGGCTCAAACAGGCTAAATCAGGCATCCCCAATCCCCAGACCATGGACTGGTACCAGTCTGTTGCCTGTTAGGAATGGGCCACATGGCAGGAAGTGAGTGGCAGGCATAACTGTATTTACAGCTGCTTGCTTCCCATCACTTGCATTACTGCCTGAGCTCTGCCTCCTGTCAGATCAGTGGTGGCACCAGATTCTCAGAGAAGCATGAACGGTACTGTGAATTGCGCACGCTAGGGAACTAAGGTTGTGAACTCCTTATGAGAATTATCTCCAAACCATCCCCCCGCCCCAGGTCATGGAAAAACTCTCTTCCATGAAACTGGTCCCTGGTACCAAAATGTCTGGGGACCACTGGGTTAAGTAAATTGCCCAGTTTTAAGTCAGTGGCATATCTGAAATTCAAATTCTCTTGGATCACTCTCTAAAACTGCTTTTCTTTTCCTTGCACCAAACAATTTTCCAAGGGTAGTGTGGATTATAGAAGAACAACCAAAGTGTAACTTGACACATTTGCTTTCTAGTTCCACCATCTTCCAAATGTAACACCATCCTCCAAAAAAAATTTTTTTGTACCACCACCAAAAAATTATTTTTTTGAGTCACCCTTTCTTTATCTGTAACAAGGTATAGATATAATGGGTAGAGTAAAAGTATCCGAAGTTCCTTCTGATTTTAAAAGTGTGTCTATATTTAGTGTGAACTTATTTAGGGATATATAGGAACATTTAGATAAATGAGTTGTAGGTAATGGCCTTTCCGCTTGCCAATGCAGGAAGGAGATGTAAGAGAGAAGGGTTTGAGCCCTGGGTTAAGAAGTTCCCCTGGAGGAGGGCATGGAAACCCACTCCAGTATTATAGCCTGGAGAATCCCACGGATAGAGGAGCCTGCCAGGCTATAGTCCATGGAATTGCTAATTTCTAGTTCAATAGATACAGCTGATAGAATTTCAAACACTGACTGCATGCGTGTTGTCACTTCAGTAGTAAATAACCTTAATTTGTGCTTGATCCCCCTAATTAGCACCCAAAGACATGAACCCACTAGAAAACTGCCTTGGTGATTCTCCATAGGTAGGATTATTTGGCATTTGGCTTCCTTCCTCCCCACTAGCTTCCATTCTGCTTTGCTATGAAAGTCCCCTCCTGAGTGGCTTTGGAAGGAGCATAACTGCGCGGTGAAGAATTGAATCAGGAAAAAACAACGGGTGAAACCTCTGTCTCATCTGTCCTCTTACCTCTTGCCTGGTGGAGGGGCAACAGAAGCAGCAGCAGGTGCATCTGAAAGGTCTTTGCATTGTCATGACTTCCTGGCCCATACAGTCAGTGACCCGGAGCACGAAGGGCCTCAATGTCCGGTAAGCATTCCTGGTGTAGTTATCTGTGTCTTCAGTCACAAAGTAAACCATCTGGCCCATGTTGTTTTTAATATCATATCTATTATTAGTTTCAAAACCTGTTACCACTAAAAATAAAATGAGAGAGATTTTTTTTAAAATGGGCCCCACAAAGTCTTTCTGTAGTATTTGATAGGAGTCTAAAACAAAACAGCTTTTTAAAAAATTCCTAATGAAAAATATGCAATGATTAGAATGCCAATAATATTCATCTGTCCTAAAAGTATATAAGTTATTTTGAAAATTTGAAACATTTCTTTTAAGAAGTTCAGTGTAAACTTTTCCACATAGAAACAAACACTGGAAATGATATACCTGGAGTATCTGAATTCAGAAAACGTTAATTATAAAACTATTTAAATGAAATTATCCACTGGACCATAAATGAATGAATCAGCTCATGAAATATGCTGAGACGATTAGGGTCATCTCTAGTTGTAAATAAGAAAATCAACCAAGACAAGTTAAAGGCTCCATGAAGTGGTCAAGTGAATGAAATGAATTTCGTACAGTGAGGGTCAGGAAATTTGGGAGAACAGGCATTGTGTTTACCTTGATTTCTTCTTACTTCCATAGCATGGACTTAGAACTCAGCAGATGGAGACTATTTCCAGCTCCTCCACTGATTAGCTGACTAGGGTGCCCTTGGCTAACTCAACTAATCTCTTGGCTTCTTCTTTCCTTGTCCATGAAAAGTGAATACAGAGGAGTTGAGATGGATAAAGGATAGGAGATTCGACCAAATAAAATATAAGTCCTTTTGAATTCTTAGGTATGATGTGTAAATAGACAAAATTACACAAGTCCCTTTGTTACTTTCTTGAAGATAGGGCAATAGAAAATAGTCTTTTCTCTTTAAAACACTAAAAAATGATCAACATAAATAAGGAACTAGAAGTTGGATAATGCAAATTTTCACCTGATTCAAATATTACTGGACACTACAAAATCATACATACTTTCCAGAGGTTCAAAATGCTGAAGAACGTGTATGTTGTCCAACTGTTGGGATAGAACAAAGCAATTAATTAGGAGACAGAAATAACAGACATAAATTAAACCCATATTAGAAAAAAAACTAATGAGACAGAGGCTAGAACATATCCATGGATACAAAAACATTTTTTTGAAACTGAATGGAATCAAAAACATATGAAGTGAAATTAGCCTATCGGCACTTGACCAGTCCATCCTAAAGGAGATCAGTCCTGAGTGTTCGTTGGAAGGACTGATGTTGAAGCTGAAGCTCCGATACTTTGGCTGCCTGATGCAAAAAGCTGACTCATTTGAGAAGACTCTCATGCTGGGAAAGATTGAGGGCAGGAGGAGAAGGGGACAACAGAGGATAAGATGGTTGGATGGCATCATCGACTCAATGGACATGGGTTTGGGTGGACTCCAGGAATTGGTGATGGACAGGGAGACCTGGCGTGCTATGGTTCATGGGGTCACAAAGAGTGAGACATGACTGAGCGACTGAACTGAACTGAACTGACCTGATCAGGTGCTTATTAACAGAGCTATCCAGAAAGAATACTTTCCTTCAGTTCCACCAAAAAATATTGAAACATTTGTTTAAAATATTATAAAATCATTTTCCTGCTCCAGTAACAGCATCTAGAATAAGCTGTGTTGATATCAATTGCTCCTAGCATCCATCATGTCACCTACAGACTGGAGATGTCAGAAAGTTCAGGACAGTTTAACATAGACCAGCCATAGAGAAGCCAATTTTCTCACTGGCTTAGAGAGTGTTAAGTAGGCAGGGTGGATCTTCAACAGGAATGTCCAGTCTTCACAGGTACTTCTGAAAAAGGTTAATACACCAACTTCCATCCACTTGAGCTGCTGCTTCCCTAGTGCCTGCTTTAACAGGGGAGGACCCAAAGAGCTGGAAGTATGTGATTAGGAATAGGGCAAAGGAGAGGAAACGTTTAGGGATTTGATCCCTTGAAAATGGAGGTTGGGCATACCATCGGATTAACTTCTTCCTTAACTTAGGGGTCACTGTAAAGATAAACAGTTTGACTGGCCCATCATCTGTTATACTTAAGAACATTCTAGCAGAAAAGAAACACCCTTAAAGACAGACTAATCATATCTCTGTAATTTTAGATAACTTAGATAATTTTTGTTGCTGTTCAGTTGCTAAGTTGTGCCCAACTCTGCGACCCAATGGACTGAAGCATGCTAGGCTTCCCTGTCCTGCACTATCTCCCAGAGTTGGCTCAAACTCATGTCCATTGAATCAGTGATGCCATCCAACCATCTCATCCTCTGCCACCCCCACTTAGATCATCAGATCATTCCTAATCCTTGAGTCCCAAAACATTGCCTGAAATGCCATATTTCACCAACTACTTGTTGAATACTCTAATTAATGAACACCACATTAATGTTGTAATAAGCAAAATTTAAAATAATGTAAACGGACATGAAAGTTTTGTGGCATGATCAACTACAGGAGGGCATAGAGAGGATACAATCTTTATTTGACTAAAATATTTTCTTTATAAAAACTCAATCAGGTTAGAGTCTAAACATGTCTTATAAAATTATCAAAGGCAGCCACTCAGGGTTGCTTTACAATCCCTTTGAAAAAATCTAGGGGCTTTCTAATACCTATAACTAAAATGTAAAAGTATTCACTGCTTGGTAAGAGCTTCCACTGCTGAGCAAAATATGCTAAAGAAATGATGCCTATTAATGTGAATGGAGTTTATTGAGAAAGATGCTATAGTTTTAAGAAGCAGTACTAACCAAGTGTGAAGTCACCGGCCAATCCAGTGTCTAGAAATAATGTAAACCTGATACCCTGGATGTTAAAGTGTCAGGATAGTCCTGATAATGATTCATGTAATTAGCACATAAGATAGCAAAACACTAGGATAGGGACTTCCCTGGAGGTCCAGTGGTTAAGACTCCAAGCTTCCATTGCAGGGGGCATGGGTTCAGTCCCTAGTCAGGAAACTAAGATCCCACATGCCTTCAAGTGGTGCAAAGAAAAAATGAAAAAGAGAGAGAGAGAAAGAAAACTATATAAAAGAAAATGTGGATGCTTGGCTCTTTGTCTTCCATGCATATACATAAGGCGTTTCAAGTAATAATATCTGCACAGGTTATCATCCACTGGGTGGGTCCTTGTGCCAGAAATATCAGGCATATTATAAACTTTATCTCATTAAAAATTCTCCGAACAGCCCAGTTGGGTAGGTATCATTAGTACTATTTTATAGATGATGAAATTCAAACACCAAGAGGTTAGAAAAGTTACTAAAGATAGAATGAGGAGGGCACAGAGCTAGAATAAAAAGCCAGGTTTGTCTTTTTATTATTATTATATTATTATAAACAAAACAAAACCTGTTTTGTTTCTTTTACATTTTTTAAACTAAAAACACTCCTAAAAGGGAAAACAGTATGCATAAAATATGTTCATTTAACTTCATTCAAAATAATAGAAGAAATTAAGAAAATTTTTAAATATTTGAATTAACAATATTAAAGCTATACATTTTTTTAAAAATTACATCAGATATTGGATTTCTAAGGAAATTTTCTGTTTTTAGAAAATATGAAAGTTTATGAAAAAATGAACTTTTTAAACCTGATTAACTTATAAGCATTTTATAAGCTTCCAAAATAATACAGGGGTTATTCTAGCACTTCACCTGAAGGCTCTGTATTTCATCAATATTTTGTCAAACAATAATTTAATAAAGTGTTTGGTTTATGTAAAATCCACATATTCCTGATCTAATGGTTTTATTTTCAAGATCAACACTATAACTTTGTAACAATGGTTTTCAGGGCACAGGATTAACAGTCAGTATTGCCATTTCCTTCTCCAATGTGTGAAAGTGAAAAGTGAAAGTGAAGTCGCTCAGTTGTGTCCGACTCTTAGTGACCCCATGGACCAGGCTCCTACCAGGCAGCCTACCAGGCTCCTCCATCCATGGGATTTTCCAGGCAAGAGTACTGGAGTGGGGTGCCATTGCCTTCTCCGATATAAAGTCAAAGAGAAACATGTCAATGCCAAGGAACATTTGGTTGACTATATGGGGAGACAAGTTTTAAATGAGCAAGTCCCTTGCTTTTAAGATTTTTAAACACTTGCTTTTTCTAAAGGTGAACATAATTTAATAGTTTCTAAGGTATTTACAATACTAGGTTTATCTTATTTTCTTTAAGCAACATTTTTGTTTCTGACACGGGTTTTAAAATAATACCATTCAGTACACAAACATGTTGGCATATTGCTCCAGTTTCTGAAATAGCTGTCATGATCCTAAAATGTCCATATACATGAAAATTAGGGAGTCTCTATGTTGTGAAAAGTGGTTCTCTGGAACTTGGCCTGAAACAATATCCTTGTTATTGCTGTTGTTGTTGTTTAGTTGCTAAGCTGTGTCTGACTCCTTGAGACCCCATGGACTGCAGTATGCCAAGCTCCCCTGTCCTCCATTGTCTCTCAGAGTTTGCTCAAATTCATGTCCATTGAGTTGGTGATGCTATATAACCATCTCATCCTCTGACATCCCCTTCTCCTTTTGCCTTCATCTTTCCCAGCATATGGACAATATTCTTGGATGGCTTCTATTTTTATTTACATTGTACATTTTGGGAGGCAGCAGGACTGGCTGATGAAAACTATGGGTAGTGAAAAAAAGCAAAGGTACTGAGTGATTCACTCACTGTCCTCTGTTCTTTGTAACATTGCTTTTCTTTTTGGTCACCCTTTACTTCTAAACAAAGGACAACCTAAGTAACATTTTCATAGACTTTCTACTATCCCCATTGCTATTTTTTAAACTGCATTCAACAGGACATTGTGAATGTCTTAAAATTCAGCACACACCCTTCAAGAGAGTCATATTTGTACCACCAAAAAAATCCCTATCTTCTTTTTTCCCCATTCCCATTCCTGAAATTATCATCACCATTCCTATAGTCACACAAATTAAATGTCTGTCATAACTGACCCATTACCTTCATGTACTCTATCCAGTCTCTTCTTCTTGGATCCCCAGTCATACTTTCTAAGAAAATAATTTGGATTTGTGTGGAGTACCTGGACAAGGCATTCCAGACCCGGAGGACAGTGTGGTATGGGAGTCGGCATGGGCATCCATATTACTGGAGCAGAAAGTTGTGGTGCAGGATATTTTCCAGGTTGGTACTGGATGGGGCAGATACTTCCAGTCTGCATGTACAAGGGGAAGGTACTGGGCTGATGTGGACCGTAGTATCCCATAGGCAAGCCTCCTGGGTAGCCTGCAGGTGGAGGGATAGCCGGTCCAGGGGGCCCTGCATTCAAAAACAAATGGAAGAATTATACATTATGAATGCTACAATATGTGGTGGTGTCAGCATGACTTTTTACATGGAAATGATATGGATCATACAACCTCCACTTAAAAATAACAAGGTGTTTCATTTTATGAGTTTATAGAATGTACCGAAACACACTAAGGGGATTTATACCTTAACTCATTTAATACTTTTAAATCTTATGAAGTAATTATTCCCATTTCATAGGCGTAGAAGTAAGGTTGAAATATCAAGTTAACATGTTAGCCTTTATGCATTAGTTTCCTTCTTTGGAGATGATAATATTCCTACCTCACTGGAAGGTAGAAAGATTAGTGCAAGGCCTAGCATACAGTTAGAATGGCAAATTTTTTGCTACTATGTTTATTGATACTATTATTTAAGGTCTTCTCTGGTAGCTCAGATGGTAAAGAATATGTCTGCAATGGGGGAGACCTGGGTTTGATCCCTGGGTTGGGAGGATCCCCTGGAGGAGGGCATGGCAGTCCACTACAGTATTCTTGCCTGGAGAATCCCCATGGACAAAGGGGCCTGGTGGGCTGTAGTCCATGGGGTCGCAAAGAGTCACACAACTGAGCAACTAAGCAAACACACATATTGTTTAAGGTCAGAAAGATAGTAAGGTCTACTTAAATTCAAAGGGGTTCTTTTAAAGACCATTGTCTAACTTCAGAATAGTTCATCACCCCCTAAAAAATCCTATACCAATTACCAATCATTCCCCACCTTTCTCCCAGGCCCTGGAAACTACTACCTCCACAGATTTGCCTAAACTGGACATTTCATATAAATAAAATCATGTAACACCTAGCCTTTGTACCTGGTTGCTCTTCGTGGCATATTTTTGTTTCATCAATGTTGTAGCATGTATTAGCACTTCATTAATAAAAATAAGACGAAAACTATTATTAGAGGTAAAGGATATTTTATAATAACAGAAGTGGCACTCTGTCAAGAAGACATAACAATTATATATACCTAAAAACAGAGTTTCAAAATATATCAAGCAAAAACTGACAAATATAAAGTGAAATAGGTAATTCAGCAAGCAATAGTTAGAGATTGCAATATCCCATTCACAGTAATGGGTAGAATACATGAGCAGAAGACCAAAAAGGAAACAGAAGTGTGAACAATACTACAAATGAAACTAGACATAACAGAATGTATAGAACACTTCACCCAACAATAAACTCTATAACATTCTTCTCAAATGCACACAGAACCTTCTCAAAGACAGACCTACTGGCTGGGCCATAAAACAAGTCTCAATAAATTTAAGACATATGAAACCTAAAAAAAAATATATTCTATTACAATGGAGTAAAACCAGATATCAATAATAACAGAAGGAAATTTGGGAAATCACAAATATGAGGAAATAAAATAATGTACTCCTAAATTATCAAAGGGATAAAAAAAATCATGAGGGAAATTAGAAAATACTTTGAGATGAATAAAACAGAAACATAATATACCAAAGCTTATGGGATGTAGTTGAAACACTGCTTAGAGGGCGATTTATAGCTATAAACACCTACATTAAAAAAGAAATACCTTAGACTTCCCTGGTGGTCCAGTGGTTAAGAACAATGCAGGAGAAATGGGTTTGTTTTCTGCTCCAGGAAGATTCCACATGACTTGGAGTAACTAAGCTCACAGGCCACAATCACTGAAGCCTGCAGGCCATAAAGCCTGTGCTCTGAGTTAAAAAAAGTTACCACAATGAGACGCTCACACACCACAAAAAAGAATAGCCCCCGCTTGCTGCAACTAGAGAAAGCCCATGGAGAGCAACAAAGACCCTTGCAGCCAAAAAGAAAGAAAGAAAGAGACATCTCAAATCAGTAACCCAACTTTCCACCTTAGAAATAAACCAAACTCAAAGCCACCAGGAGGAAATGATAAAGATTGAAATAGAAGAGAGTGAAATGTAAAAATAAAGATAGACAAAATCAACAAAACCAAAAGTAGGTTCTTTTAAAAGATCAACATATTGAGAAATCAAGCCACACTGACCAAGGGAAAAAATAGACTTCAATTACTAAAGTGAGGAATGAAAATGGAGCCATTACTAAAACCTTACAGAACTAAAATATACCATAAGGAAATATGACCTTATGTATGCAAAAGCAGAATACTGCCCATGATTTCTGCACACAGCACAGCCAAGGGGGTGGGCAGACCACCTAAGCTATGCTTCCTGTCCAACCCACTGATTCAACCCTTCCCTCACTCCGTTTTAGGAACTACCTCACCTACTTGGCACCTGTTACTTGTTCTCACTCCCTCTTGCTGTAGCATGAGCCTCAGTAAGCCCTGTTTGAATTTCTCGCCTGGCGTCTTTTCATTTCTATTGATTAAATAGTCCGAGGACCTAGGTCTATAACACTCACATAGGTAGACGCAGAGTGGATGAAGGGATTAAAGAGGAGGGGCAAGGAACTGAGGCAAAGGAGATACCCTATGATGTAAGTGCTGACACATGAGACCCAGTTAGCACCTTCATGACTGGGAAAGGTTTTAAGACATAACAGACACAAAATGAGCAGCTGCACAGGGAAAGCTCAGTACCACACGGGTAAAGGCCATGTGTGAAGATTTAGCAAACAAAGCAGAAAGGAAGGTGGGAGGAAGGGATGATGATGAAAGACCTCTACTCTGTGCAAAGGACTTTATGCTGATAACATGCAAACTGGAGTGACCAGTTTTACATTTAGAGCCTTTATGAATAGGAAGGTTGGATGAGGCAGGAAGTACCTGAAAGAGTCTAGATGGGAGGTAAAGAAATTTAATTATGATGAAAGGAGTAGAAAGTGGAAAAACAATGATCGACATTAAAGAGACCTATTGTCTTGGTAACATGATATGAGGAAAGGGTCTCAAGTTTCTGACTGCAGGAATCTAGTGTAGAGAAAGAATAGTGGGTATGTGTTTAGGAACAAGATGCCAAAGATGTATTGAGGATCACTTAGTTTGAGATCCCAGGTCACTAAGGGCAAGTGGTCTACAGGCGGGTAGAAATGTAAGTTTAGAGCAGGGGAGACTGCTTTGGGTGGGAGCTGAAAGATTCCTAGGCCTTCCCTAGTGGCTCAGTGGTAAAGAATCCGCCAGCAATGCAGGAGACAAGGGTTCAATCCCTGGGCTGGGAAGATTCCCTGAAAAAGGATATGGCAACCCACTCCAGTATTCTTGGATAGAAAATCCCACGGACAGAGGGGCCTGGTGGGCTACAGAGTCACAAGAGTCAGACACAATTTAGCAACTAAACAACAACAAAGGGATTCATAAGTGGTTAAAAGCAAATGAAACCATGGGATATTCCCAAGATTACTAAAGAGAGTGGAAAAAGACAGGTAAACAGAAGAGATGAGAGAGGGGACAGGCTGGTGCAGCCGGGGGCTGGACAGGGAATCAGACGAAGGACCTCTGGGAACACCAGTTTTTAAGTGTAGTTTACACAGAGCTCTTGATAGAGACAGACTCAGGAGAGACTAAAGGAAAATAATAGCAACAAGAAACAATGTCAAATTAGAGCTAAGTGAGAAAAAAGAGCTAATGTCTTTAGAAAAAATGGAGAAAATTCAGTTTGTTGAAAAGAATGTATTGGGTTGGCCAAAAAGTTCATTTAGTTAGGGAATATATTGGGCAATAAAGTTCTTGGTGAAATGAAAAATATGCCTTTTATTTGTACTTAAAACTGAATGAATATTTTGGCTAACGAAATACTTTTAATTTCTTTAAGAATTGTGTTCAAGAGTAGCCAAACTGGAGTAGATATTGGATATCTCTCTCCTCTTTAGAACTATTATTAAAAAACAACGTCATACAAACTATCTCAAAAATACTAATTGTTATATCATTTTAATGAGTTGATGATTAATTGTTGTGGTATTAACAATGTAATCTTAGGATAAAAGTATCTCATGGAACAAAATCTGAAGATCAACAAATTAGCAAGAAAATTACTATTTAGATTATGGTGCTATTCAGTATAGAGACTATATTTCTAAAAAAATTATATAAAAATGTATATAATCAAATGATTTATGTTATAAGAATGCATTATTCTGAGATGTTAAGAGAAGAGCATAATACGTGAGGGAAATGGTATATGTTTTATACTCCCTTTTAAGCTTTAAAACTGCTCTTAAAAATTCTGATTGTTCTGCAAGAAAACACAACACAATAAAACATGTTTAACTTTGTATAACTTTGTTATGGAGCATTGTCCTACCACTACTAGTGTGAGAAATACTGCTTTATGGAATTTGTATCTTCTTAGTCATTTTGACTATTATTATCCTTTTTTACTTTAAAAATACATGTCATTTTCTCTTCCAATAGACTATACATAACAAAGGTTTCTTTATTAACTCTTCTTTTAAATATATTTGGGTCAAAATTATTTTCAGTGGGAATAAATATCCAGTAATATAATGCAAATGGAATATATATATATATTGATATATAATATAATTGAACCTTAAGAAATTCATTAAAGCTAAGTATTTCAAGTATAGTACTTCCAGTTCCTTAATGTGAATTAAAGGGACACAATTTGCATCAGTATAGGTAAGTATATCGTTCAGCCACTAGATGGTGATCACAGTAAATTTTTGTTGGCGATTTTCATATATGAAAATTCATTAGTCGTATGCTCTTCATCATAATATTTTTCAACTTACCTACTCGTTTAATTTGAAGACTGTATCCTGCTCTCTTGTTAATTTTTTGATACAGAAGGGAACAGACACTTTCCCAGATGAACAGAACGTGATTTATAGCCAACACTTACTTCTTAGAAATGGTATAGTTTCTGTTCTAGTATAATCTAGGTACTTGGATATAGAGTGACTGGTGAATATAAGATAGATTATGTAGATAATTTGATAGCCACCAAAGTAAAATGTAGAGTAATGGTCAGATACAGTGAAATTATGACCCAGGGTTGTCAAAAATTTGGATTTAGCAGGCATTAAGCAGTAATGAGCATACAGGGGCTGTATGCTCAGATTCACATAACACACATACACATGAGGGAAAGAGGAAAAGGAAGCCCTAACTTCAGAAAGTACTGCAAAGACAAAGGCTGCCTGAGCTCCATGGATCGTATGTCTGGAGCCAAGAGAACACCCTTGCCAGTATTCTGTGGATACCGGGGTTTCTTCTGCTCTTCCACAGCCTAACACTTGTTTCTATCTCAGAAAATATACTTAAATATATATTTAAAGAAATAGCACTACACTTTATCATTTTCTAAATCATTAAAATATATATGAATATAATCCTGATTAAAACTATTTCCTCAGTCAAAAGATGGGGAATACATGTTAAAAAAAAAAAAAAAGATACACTATGGTTGTGATAAAAAAAATAAATAAATAAATAAATAAATTAAAAAAAAAATAAAAATAAAAAGTTACATACTGCCCACATACTTATGAGCATCCATTTTGCTGAGTCCCTGAATACAGTATGAGTTTTCAGACTTACAAAAATATTTGCAGAACAACAAGCTCCTTAATCAGAACTTGAAGCCATTTGCCTCCACTATTCTGCACTTTTCCTGGCCTTTGTCCCATGAATGCCTCAGACCAGACCATCATGACCATGAGCTTCAGGACACAGTGTTCTTTCCTTTGACTGAGAAATTTCTCATTGTGCCAGTAAAACTTGATTTCCTCGGTGCTTCCCTCCAATACCCCATAGAAGTAGTTACTGTTTTTGTGCACTTAAAACATTCGTTTCATTCTTAAGCAAAAAGAATGCCATCAGTGTTTGTGTAATTTCCTTCCTTAGTTGCCTATAAATCCTATGAAAACAGGAATATGATTCTAATTAACATCTAGTAAACTACTTGGCCCTCTGTAGGCATTAAATATTTATTTAATGAATCATTCAATTAATTAATTAGTTAATTTTAAAAGCAATCTTAACTATGAGGATGGTTTTCTGGAGAGGGGAAAGATTCTTTCTGAATTTTTAACCTACCTGATACAAAACTGGAACTGTACTCAGGAGGGGCACCAGACCTTGGATCAGGTGACTTCATCTGATTCTCTGTTTCATCTGCAGGTTTCTCAGGGGTTGTGGGGAGATCTTAGGGGTGAGAAAGGTGGTGCATGATTTACAGTGGAAATGATAATATGATTACAGAATATATTCATTTTTTCTGTTAGTATGCATCAATGAATATGACCAATATTAAATACACTCATTTCTTATAAAAAGCAACTCAGTATGTATATTAGATATCAACCTATCAATACATTTTTAATTATTACCTCTCTTTGCAGACTTACTTTCCCACCTGCATTTTTCCTTTACCTAATTTTCCCCCACATACAATCAGAAATTTTTTTCATTACCTATATGCCACTCTAAATCCCTTTTAATCCTTTTCTGTCAAAGATAAATAAGAATGTTCATATATATAAATGAATAAATAAATGTATATATGTATATATATTCTTCAAATATTAAACATGAATAAGTAATTCAAAAGGAAATAGAATCCAGTTTTTTACGGAAAGGAATCACACAATTCACAATTGAAAATACAGCATATTGAAATGTATTCATAAAAACTTACCTGACATTTTGAAGAATTCCAATTAAACCTCAAAACAAAACAAAACAAAACAACAATTTTTACCTTATATATTTACATAGTTACTATTATTAATTAGTGATACAAGTAAGAAGTTCTGCGATTCTTTTAGTCTCTAGTTACCTTTCATTCATTCCTTCATTAATTCAACAAATATTTCCCTAACACCTATTTTCTACATGGTGTTGAAAATGCAGCAGTAAACCAGATGCGCACTCTGCTAGAAATTATATTCCAGTGGGGTGGAACATGTCAACAAATATTTAAGATTAAATTTAGATAGTACGGTTATGAAGAAAACAAAGTTAAAGTAAGGAAAACATGGATGGGGAGCTCCCAGAGGGTCAGGGAAAGCCTCTCTCAGGAGGTGACCTTTCAGCTAGCTGAACTATGGGGAAGAGTTCCAGAGAGACAATTAAGTTAAATGAGAAGGCCCTAAGATAACAGTAAACTTGTGATACTCAAGGGAGAGAAAGAGTTCAGGTGTGACAGGAATACAGGGAAAGAAGAGAACTAAGGTCAGAGGTGGAGATAGAGGTCTGATCATACCTAAAACTCATGGTAAAATGTTTGGAATCTGTTGTAATTGCAGTGGGGGTGTCTTCAGGAGACTTTAATCAGTGGAGTGATCAGATCGATTTAAACTTTATCTTGAGGGTGCAGTGGAGTAGGGATGGCAGCAGTAATCCATGTGAGAACTGATGCTGGTTTAGACTGGAGGTGACACAGAGAGGGTCAGATGTGGTCAGATGCATAAAAAGATTTGGGAGCAGAACCTACAGGAGTTGGTAATGGACTCAGTAAAGAGAGGAGTCAAGGATGAGTCTCACTTTCTAACCCAGGGTGTCTAAGTTGATGGTGATGCCAGTAACTCAACTAGAGAGGAAGATGGTGGGAAAATTGGGAACTGGGGAAGGTAGGAATCAAAAATTTAAATCAAGACATGTTGTGTTTAAGATGAGGCTAAAAGAAGACATGTTAAACATTTAAACAAAAACTATGTTAAAGAACATTATGAGAATAATTCAAAGAAGTAAAAATGTTGAGATGATATTTGAAACAAGAAGTGGGCTAGGAGAGAGATTCCATTAATTAAATCAAGGGGAAAAGATTATTATTAAAGAAAGGAATTTCAATATTTCAGGTTTCTTAGTTCTATGTGATGACAAATAAAGAGAGAACATCATCAAAAGCTATACTGAATGCTTACCAAATGTCAGGAAAAGGCAGAGGACTTTTCATGTATTATCTCCAATTTGCACAGCAAAGGAAACTATAAACAAAATGAAAGGACAACACACAAAATGGGAGAAAATATTTGCAAACAATGCAACCAATAAGAGGTTAATCTTCAAAATTTACAAATAGCTTGTGCAGCTCAATATTGAAAAAACAAACAACCCAGTCAAAAGTTGGGCAGAAGATGTAAACAGCCTTTCTCCAAAGAAGACATACAAATGGCCAACAGGCACATGAAAAAGATGCTCAACATCTTTAATTATTAGAGAAATGCAAATCAAAACTACAATGAGGTCTCACATCATACCAGTCAGAATGGCCATCATCAAAAAATCAACAAACAAATGCTGAAGAGGATGTATAGAAAAGGGAGCCCTCCAACGCTGTTGGTGGATATGTAAATTGGTGCAGCCACTATAGAGAAAAGTCTAGAGGTTCCTTAAAAAACTAAAAATAGGGCTACTATATGATCCAGCAATTCCACTCCTAAGCATATAACTGGAGAAAAACATGCTACAAAAAGATACATGCACCCCAATGTTAACTGTAGCACTGTTTACAATAGCCAAGACATGGAAGAAGCCTAAATGTCCATCAGCAGAGGAATGGATAGAGATGTGGTGTATATATACACACAATGGAGTATTATTCAGTCATTAAAAAGAATGACATAATGCCCTTTGCAGCAACACAGATGGATCTGGAGATTATCATACTAAATGAAGTAAGTCAAGCAAAGAAAGACAAATATTACATGATATCACTTTTATGTCAACTCTAAAAATATGATATAACAAACATGTACAAAACAGAGCCACAGACTTAGAGAACAAGCTTATGGTAACCAGAGGGGAAAGGTTGGGGGAGGAATAGACTGGGCATTTGGGATTGACATTGTACACACTGCTATATTTAAAATAGCTAATCAACAAAGACCTACTGTTGGGTAGGCACAGAGAACTCTGTTTTTTCTGTAGTATCATAAATGAGAAAATAATTTGAAAAAGAATAGATACAGGTACATGTGTAACTAAATCACTCTGCTCTACAGCTGAAACTAACACAACATTGTTGATCAACTATACTCTAATATATAAGAAAAATTGAAAACAAAAAATAAATAAAACAGTATAATAGAGGAAGAAACAAACAAAAACCATCTAATACATAAATGGAAAATGTTGCTAAACTTAGGTACTTTCCATGTTCTTTCCAACGAATTATTTTGCTTATCAGAGTACAGAATGTGGTCATTTGTGTTCTTCAAGTAGAGTAGAAAGTTACCGATACAGAATAGATATGTCAAAGAAGCACTGGAACACTGTATGAGTGAGTAGTCAATATGGATACTGAGTTGACCCAGTGAATGTCACCACTGCATAAGCCAGTATGTAGGTTCTAGGCTCTTGCCAAGCCTGGCCCACCAGTCTTGGCCCAGTTCCTCTCCTTCTCTGGAGCTGGAGTTAATTGTGTCTTAAAAGTAAAAGTGAAAATATTAGTCACTCAGTAGTGTCTGTCTCTTGATGACCTCACGGACTATAATTGGCCAGGCTCTTCTGTCCATGGAATTCTCCAGGCATGAATACTGGAGTGGGCAGCCATTCCCTTCTCCAGAGGATCTTCCCAACCCAGGGACTGAACCCATGTCTCCTGCATCGCAGGTGGATCCTTTACTGTCTGAGCAACTAGGGAAGCCATGAAATTAAAGATGTTTGCTCCTTGGAAGAAAAGCTATGACAAACCTAGACACAGTACTAAAAAGCAGAGACATCACTTTGCTGACAAGGGTCCATCTAGTCAAAGCTACGATTTTTCCAGTAGTCACATACAGATGTGAGAGTTGAACCATAAAGAAGGCTGAGTGCCAAAGAATTGATGCTTTTGAAATGTGGCACTGGAGAAGAGTCTTCAGAATCCCTTGGAGTGCAAGGAGAGATAAAACCAGTCAATCCTAAAGGCAATCAACACTGAATATTCATTGGAAGGGCTGAAGCTGAAGTTTCAATACTTTAGACACCTGATGAGAAGAGTCAACTCATTGGAAAAGACTATGATGCTGGGAAAGATTGACGGCAGGAGGAGAATGGGGCAACAGAGGATGAGATGGTTGGATTGCATCACTGACTCAATGGACGTGAATCTGAGCATACTCCAGGATATAGTGAAGGACAGGGAAGCCTGGCATGCTGCAGTCCATGGGGTCACAAAGAGTTGGACAAGAGTTAGTGACTGAACAACAACAAAAGTAAAAACTTTCCTGGTACACACTGCGAATACAGACTCAACTACAGGCCAATCAAGAATTCTAGGAATTGGTCCTATTCCTTTAATGGTGGTAATATCTGGTGTTTAGGAAAATGCCCATACCTTTCTAGAACCTTAAATTCTGGACATTCCTAGGATTGTACCCTCAAGTGACTGCACAAGTACACACAGATACACATGAGAATGTTCTTGACATACTACATATCAAAAGAAACTGAAAACATTCCCAATTTCCATCAGTTGTACACTGGATAAATAAAATCTGGTATATTCATAAAGTATAACAGTATACTGTAGAGAAAACAAATTACAGTTATACTCATCATGTGTGCATGCATACTCAGCCACTAAGTCATGTCCAACTGTTTTCAACCCCTTTAACTGTAGCCCACCAGGCTCCTCTGTCCATGAGATTCTCCAGGCAAAAATACTGGACTGGATTGCCATTTCCTCCTCCAGGGGATTTTCCTGACCCAGGGATCTAACCTGCATCTCCTGCATTGACAGGTGGACTCTTTACAACTGAGCCAACTGGGAAGTCCTGCCATGCCCATCAATACTGATATATCTCAAAATTACAACACAAAAAAACCAAAAAAAGTCATAGGAGAACACATATGAATCCATTTAAGAATATTCAAAAGCAGGAAAATGAAACAAAAACTTTTTTCTGATACATGTATGGGAGAAAACTTAAGAAAAGTTAGGGAATTATTAACACAAAATTCAGGAAAATGGTTACATATGGAGAAGTGATGTAGGACAAGTGTTCAGCTCTGATCCTCAAAGGGCCAGAACTTCCTGCTAATGTTTTAGTTCTAACAGGGTGGTATGAACAGGGGTGATGGGTTATAACTAGTTTTAAAAGAGTATATGTATGTTTAAATTTGCATATTTGTATGTATGACATTATTCACAATAAAAAGGACTTCTTTTTTATTGTGACGAACCATGTGACAGGTATATGTTGAGTGTAAGTTTCTAACCAAACGTACGTTGTTCTTTCTATATTAAGCCTGGGGACTTCTGTCAAAGATATGTGACAGAAAGTAACTAGAACAGATTATTGAGTGCCTTAGTGAAAAGGGGCTAAATTATCTAGATATCTATCCAACTGCCTATTCATCCATCCATCCATCCATCCGTCTATAGTGACAAACAGTACATAGCATAGTACAAAATGACAAATGTTAACAACTGCTAAAGCTAAGTGAAGATAGAAATTTGAATAATTACAAAAAGAACTTAAAGGATGGAAATTCCCTGGTTGTCCAGTGGTTAGGACTTCATGCTTTCATGGCCAAGCATGTGGACAGGGAAGGAAGGTCCCATAAGCGGAGTGGTGCAGCCAAAATAAACAAAATAAAAACATCTTTGTGGAAGAAAAAAAAACTTGAAGGAAAATTATGCAATTCTGGATGCCAAAAGCGAGGTAGAACCTCTGGGGTGCGGGCCTGGAAAACTGTACTTTTAACACAAGGCAAG